GCCCGGGCATGTGCCCTGACCGGGAATCGAACCCCGATCACCTGGATCCTAGGTTGATGCTCAACCGCTGAGCCACGCCCAGCTGGGCTCTTGGCTGCTTTTATTTTTTTAAATATCTCTTTATTGACTTCAGAGAGAGGAAAGGAGAGGGGGAGAGAGAGACAGAAACATCAATGATGAGAGTCACTGACCGGCTGCCTCCTGCAGGCCCCCGACTGGGGGTGGAGCCCACAGCCCGGGCCTGTGCCCTGACCGGGAATCGAACCGTGACCTCCTGGTTCATAGGTCGACGCTCAACTCCTGAGCCACGCTGACCGGGCCTTGGCTGCTTTAAATGAACGTCATTGATCCGGGCACCCCCCTCTCTAGTTGCTTTTGGGTAAATCTGTATTAAATTAAATCCAGTAATTCCAAATACTAAACTCCAAACCGCTTTCTTGGGAGAGAAACAAACAGTAACTTGGTGAACTTTACTCGTTGAAAACATCTCCTCAAATTAAAACTACAGCGTGACTTTAAAATTAAAGCATAAGAAAAACGCCCAGTGTGAGCGGAGGGCGGGCGGTGCCCTCAGTCCCCGGATGGTGCCCATGCCCGCCCGTCCCGCGGGGGCTCCACTGCAGAACCCTGCCCGAGGGGCCTGCGTGCAGGTTTCCGCCGCTGACGACCACACGGTTGTGACCGAGGGTGACTCGAGGCTGTTCTCCTCGTCCCGCTCTGTTCTCAGGCCTCAAGACCTTTCTGTCCCATCACTGCTACGAAGGCACCGTGTCCTTCCTGCCGGCGCAGCACACGGTGGGGTCTCCGCGGGACGGGAAGCCCTGTCGCTCCGGGTAAGCGAGGGGTGGCGTCGGCGGCTCAGGCAGGGAGAGCCGGGCGCCGGGTGCCCGCCCGCTGTGGGCGACGGAGAGCCGGGCGCCGGGTGCCCGCCCGCTGTGGGCGATGCAGCGTTTCCCAGGTGCAGGTCGGGAGGCTGGATTCCGGGCCCAGCCACAGCGTAGGTCAGTGCAGTGCTTTCGGTTCACGCGTGCCCTGAGGCGTCTCGTCACCGCTCCTGTGACAGGTCCCCGTGTCCGGGATGGGACAGGAGGGGAGGCGAGGTCGAGGCCACATCTTCCAGGGGGGGAGGGAGAGCTCAGGTCACGTCGCCTGCTCCTGCTGGGGGGGGGTGAGGGGTGAAAAACGAGAAATGGTGGAAGACAGAACCACTTCAGCTGCACGTGCGGGACGCCGCGGGGACCACAGGGAACACGTGACTGACAGGGCGCAGGTGGAGCCTCCTGTCCCCTCCCCACTGAGACCCTTGCCCACCCTCGCCCCACGCTCCACGTGGGCACCTGCCCTGCAGTCAGGACGGGCAGGCCCCGCCCTGCACCCGCGGCAGGGAGCAGAGGCCGGTGGAGCGGCCACCGAGGGGAGGGCGGCCCCCGGAGAGGGGAGACGAGGTCAGTGACAGCCCGAGGTCACCGTCTCTGGAGCGTGTTCACGTGGAGGCACAGCAACTCCTTCCGCACCTGGCGCACCCCAGGATGTTCAGTACCACGTGGCCAGGTTTAGAGCAGAACCTGAAATAATCCTAAAACCAGTCATGTGGCCCAGGGCCCCTCGGCGGCAGTGGGTGTCCCTGCTCAGCCCCCTGAGGATGCTGAGCGTGGGGTTTTGAAGGATTCAGGCTTTTCCTCGGGGCCCTCCTCCTCCCGGCCCTCTCCTTGGAGTAGAGAACTCCATGAAGCGGGAACGGTCTTCTTGTGGCTAAACTCGAAGAGCCGACACCGCCGGCTCTTCCTGTTCGGCGGCGAGTGCCGGGGTGCCCGAGACCACAAGCGTCCTCTAGGCTCGGGAGTGAGTTCCCCGTTACTGGCTTGCTTGGTCCTGGCCGGGACAGATAACCTTGCCGTCCTCTGTCCCGGGACAGTGACTCGGGCTCAGGGGGGACACACTGGTGGACGGTGCCTCTCGCGTCTGCTTTTCCGGCCAGCGCCACGCAGAGCCCGCCCGAGCCAGCCCGAGCCCGCCGCGCCCAGGGTGCCAGCGCAGGGACCTTGTCGGGGCTCCTGGCTCTGAGTGCGTTTGCCAGTCTCGGAGACGCACATGCTGAGTGTGCAATCTTTAGAAGTAAACCTGATTTTGAGAACTCAAACTGATGTCAGAGAAGTATTTTTTATTTTTTAGTGTATTTTTATTGATTTCAGAGAGGAAAGGAGAGGGAGAGAGAGAGAGAAACGTCAATGATGCGAGTCGCTGACCGGCTGCCTCCCGCACGCCCCCGACTGGGGACCGAGCCCGCCACCCTGGCCTGTGCCCTGACCGGGAATCGAACCCCGATCGCCTGGGTCCCAGGTCCACGCTCAGCCGCTGAGCCACGCTCAGCCGGGCAAAGGAGTATTTTTAACTCGGCTTTTGACACGGGGCATTTTTGTTACGGGCGAAGGTTTAAAAGGCTTGGGTGCGTGCGGCGCACACGGGCCCGGTGCCGACGCCCGCGGTGAGGCGAGGTGGCGGC